AGCCTTTAGGGCTTTTTTTTTTTTTTTTTTTTTCCAATTCTCTTTACAAAAGGGCAATGGCCTTCAGGTATCATTATTGAGCTGACCAGCCCGAGGTAATTCAGAATTATTTTTTACTGCATCTGGCTTCGAACTTGGGTCTGTATTTCCACAGTCCAGGGGGGGTGTACCAACTGAGCCAGGCCTGTCGGTGGGTCTTAGGCCCGGGGTATTATTGTGCGAGGAATGAGCCCTCACATAGTCCGCTTGGCCGCGGCCTGCCACTGCCTAAGTGGTCCCCAGCAAGTACGGTCCCCGCCCTGCATGAAGGGGGGCCTGAATTTTACGAGGGGCCCCACTTCTGCCATTTCTGCATTATCGGGCACCAGTGAAGGCAGCTTTAAGTGAAGGCGGGCCTGCTTCTCGAGCTGTGGCGGTGGAAACCCTATCTTGTGGTTCACACGGATCATTTAAAATGTCGTCTTCTTGACAGAGTATTGATTGCCCCTATGGGGCTCGGTCCCAATTGTATCTCGAGCTGGTAATCGTCCAAATAAATTCTAAATGCCTGCATGTACCTGGTCCATAAAACAGTTTCTTTGTCATGCTTGTGTCGAATGTTTGACTAGTGAAGTGAGACCCTCTTATCTCCTCTAAAGGTTTCTGTCCATGGATAGGTTTTACTATTTCCCAATCCCCTCGAAAAGAAAAATGCACTCATTCGGGGGGGCCCCACCTCCTCTTTTCGAAGGGACGCCGGGCCCGGTTCCCCACTTTGTAATATAAATTTCCTTTTTCAAGTTCTTTGTTAACAAACTTGAAAAAAAAAAAAAAAAGGAATGAAAAGCACTCAAGCCAAAACTTAGTTCACTTTTTGTTTTTCGGGGTCAGTTCAGCTTTTCGTCTCCAGGCACGGAAAAGAAAAGTCCACTTGAAAAAAGTCAAAAAAGTCAATTTGAACTAAGTTTTGACGGAAGAGGATGCTATCCTTGAAATCCCATAATAGCATCCTCTTCACTGAGTCGTCAGTCAATTTGAACTGACCATGCCTCCTCTCTTTGGGCCATTTTGTGTAAATAAATGCGTCTTACAACTTCTTCAGACCTCCGCCTCCTGCTCCCTCCGCGGAAGAGGGAGGCAGGTTCAGTTCACGCTTCGCTTCCTGACCCAAAAAAAGAGAAAAAAGGATTAAAATTTTGAAGTTTAAAGTTTAAACCATGGTTGCCTCTTACCCGGACCCGGACAGAGCAAGTCCAGACCGAAAAAAAAGAAGAAGAAGAAGAAAAGAGAGAAGAAAAGAAAAGAAAAGAAAAGGTTATCGAAGGTTTACACAACTTTACAGACAGGTAGTGAAATGGGCCCTACCTACATGAAGGCAGTATCCAGCCTGTGCACCTCTCTCTCTGTCTCTCTCTCTCTCTCTCTGTCTGTCTCTCTCTCTGTCTCTCTCTCTCTCTCTGTGCACCTGTCTGTCGCTCTCTCTCTCTCTCTCTCTCTCTCTCTCTCTCTCTCTCTCTCTCTCTCTCTCTCTCTCTCTCACACACACACACACACACACACACACACA